AAAACACCACTCACAAGCCGGCGGGCGTCCTACCCCAGCTCTCATCCTTGATCCCCCAACTCACCCCCTCCTCCACGCAATGGTTTTCGCCCCCGCCTCGCTGCGCAGCTGGCTGACTTTGGTTTGACCAAGATCATCCGCGGCGACGACCAGGTGGTCAATCACAGCGGCGCCGGCACCGTCACGCACCTCGCGCCAGAGATGTTCCAGGCCGGCACGCGCGTCACCACCGCCGTCGACGTCTACGCGTTTGGGACGCTTATGTGGGAGGTGGGCTTCTTGTTGCGCTGAACAAGCATCAAGCACCACCTAAAGACGCATCAAGCATGTCTTTGACCCCCCAGCGGCGTGTTTTCTTGCTCGCCGTGCGCCGCACCTTGGCACCCGCGAAGCGTTTGGGGCAGGGACGCGTGCCGCGCAGCGCCTGGCAGGCCCGGCACCCCAGCCGCCGCTGCCGGTGCTGGACCCCTCAACCTCACGACGCACAATCCTGCACACCTTGCCGCCCTCGAACCCATTGTACCCAACGTCTTTCCCCGCCTGCCTCGGCTTGGCCGCAGATTTACACGAGCAGGCGCCCCTGGCAAGGTGCGGGGCGGCGCGCCCCGGGCCGCGCAACCGCGCGTGTGTGCTCTCACAATCGCGGCCGTAATGGCGCTCGTCTGGCTCGTGCGGCTCTCCGCCCCCCTCCGCTAGTCCCCACCCCCGCGCAATCCCAAGCCCCGTCCCACCCCGGCACGTTGGCGCTGCATACTCTTATGCTGGAGCGACGACCTCACCCCACACACCTTGTCAGCATACAACCACAATCATACAACACATTCACTTATACATGGGCGCAAATTGCAGACCGACGGCGCCTCGCATGCCAAATGCGCTTGGCGTCACCTCAACCTCCACTCATCCCTCTGCCCCCCACGACCAGGCCTATCCCGCGAGGCTGTCATAGACCGCGTCTACCGCCGCGGCGCCCGCCCCTTCTTCCCCGCCGGTGCGCCACCCGCGTACGTCGACCTCGCCACCGCCTGCTGGGCCGCGAGCCCCGCGGACCGGCCGGCCTTCGCCGACATCGTCGCCGCACTGCAGAGCATGGCCGACGAGCTTGCCGAGGCCGCCGCCGCGCAGTGGCACGCCGCGCCCGCGCCGCCGCCGCCCCCGCCTTTTGTGCTGGCGGCGCCCGCGCCGCTCGGCGGCTGCCGCGAGGGCGGCGCCGGGGCGGGGTACGCCGCGGCGCTGCAGATGGGGCAGATGGTGGGGATGGTCCCAGGCGCGTGGGCGGCGGCCGGGCCCCTGCCGCCGGCGCTCGTTGCATCCGCCGGAGGTGTTGTCTGATTGGCTCTGAGCCGCGGGCGCCTGGTATCAAGGGGTCCTCGGCGCCATGCACGGGGTGGTGGAGGAAGGGGTGGTTCAATCAATTTACAAACACAACTTAGGAGCGGGCTGCAGTGTGTGGGGATGTTTAACCAACCAATTCTGGGGGGAGTTGCGAGGACCAGCCGGCCCCGCCGGGCCTGATTGCCCGGCGGCCGCCGCGCGATTGCGAGACCCTCGCTCCCTCGGCCGCCTGTGCGGGCCCGTTCGCCCCACTCCATCCGCCGCCGCACGTTGCGGGAGCGCCGCAGCTTCTTTGCGGCGCCGTCGTACGCGGCGGCGGCCCGGGAGCGGCGCGGCGGGCGCCAAGAAGGGGACCGCCCGCCTCGTGCGGTGAGCCCCCCTCTCTCGTGCTCTCGGGCGCTTGTTGGCGGCGCGCGACAGGCCCGCCCCATTTCACGATTGTCTCCTGCAAGCCTCCATAGAAATAGCATTCATTGAAATCACGTCATCGGTGCACTTGTGGTCGCGGCTCCTGGCTCCTTCACACACACGTATTACGAACGCCCCAACCCACGTCCGCGGCCGCACTGAGGGCCGCCGCGGGTTGGACCCGCCCGCTGCGGCCCGGCGCCGCGCGGGGCGCCGCACTTCGCGGTTGCCCCGCAACTCGCACGGCACGGCGGCCGCTCGACGCTCACGCTGGCCGCACTGCTTGAGCCCGGGAGGGGCCACCCCCCCACCTACCCCCTCCCCCCTTTGCCCCTCCGACCGAGTGGCGCGCGGCGCCGCCCCGGCCC